CATCGAGAGCTGTGGTGTAAGACAGACGACTGGCTGGGGTGGCCCATTGCTCAGTCGTAGCGGTAGTGGAATCTCCCGCAGGAAGCATGATCATGTTGGCCGGTGTAACGGGCCGGATAGTCGGTACTTCAGTACCACCCTTGTGAGCGTTCTTGCTCTCCGGAGCAACATCATTTTGGACGGTGTTGGCGGTATCATTGGCAGATTCGTGTCTCGCGTGCTCGGCTTCGTGGAGCCGCGCAGGCAGAGGGTCCAGGGAAGACGCTGGCTGGTTCTCCAACTCAGCAATGGCAAGAGCTGGATTGATGGCCATTTTGGCTTGCTCACTGCCCTTCAAGGTTTCAATGCTGCTCTGGAGAGCTTCCAGGTCTTTGTAACCTTCCTTGGTGGGCAGGATTTCGAGCTCTGGATATTCGAGTTGGGCAGACGACTTGACACCAGGCTTGGACGGCATCATTTTTCCCAAGCTGGTCTTCATGGCCTTCCCGAGCTTCTTCGACATGGACTGAGAAGACTTCTTGATCTCGACGACGCTGGGCATGGAAGTCTTGCCGGCGAGCTCAACATACTGCGCTGTCTCCGCATCGGGGACTGCCGCAAAATCCTTCGGCGTCATATCGTCATCAGGGCCTGCAGTACTAGTTCTCTTGGCTCTGTCATGGGAGGGCCACTTGGCCCAAGAAGAAGGAGGTGTAGCAATATTTTGGAAGCCCAAATTCTATTTGGTGCTTGTGACATCTTCGTTGTTCTCCGACTTCTTGGGAACGATGGTACCGGAGAAAGACTGCTGAGAAGTGCTTGACTGGCTGGCGTTTCGTGTTGCGATGAAATCCTGCGCTTTGGTTCCTTTGTAGCGATATCCGACTACATCTCGCTCTGTAGGGTGAGAGAGGTGGTTCTCGTCGACTGAGAATGTTCCCATGCTGGCTTTAGCCATGGCAGACTTCTTGGAATATGTAGTGGACTTGGTCTCGCGCTGGTCGTGCTCAACTTTGAAAGCTCGCTGCCAGACCACGGTGGCGCTTTCAGTGAGCTTGGGTGCAGTGAATGCGACGTCGTTCGGGACATGCTGGGTCGAAGAAGTGATGCTGTGACTCGAAAGCATTTCAATGTTCTCCCGTGGCTTGAGCATCTGGTTCGCTACCGACGAGGAGCTCAGCTGTGCGGGCTCCGTGGAAGACTGACTATGCGACTGCCATCGACCCTTGGTACTCGAGCTTCTACGAATGCCCAGGAATTGGAGGAATGAAGACTTCCGCGACGGGGCATAGCCGTCGCTAGGCATGTCGATCTGTGATTCACCAGAAATTCCTCCGATACCACCAAGTGAACCAGGCTTCTCGTTCTTCGGGTCAGGGACGTTCTGCGCGGTGCCGTAGTTGTGATAGTTCTCAGTCTGGAAGCAAATACCATCTGCGCCAGCTACTTCCTGGCCTGATAGGATGATAGAAGGTACAGCCGTGTCAAAGTCGGGGTTCTTGTCTAGGGCGGTACGATAACTCTCATCAGAACGCTGCTCCTTGAGATTGTACACTGTTGCTTTATTAGTTGAGATACTAGCTTCCGCGATTAATGTAAACCCACAGTCAAAGTTGGCGAGGTCGAGATCAATAAGACTCTCAGCAAGGCTGTTGCGATCGTCGTCACCACTGACGTTCTTGAAGCCCGATGGCGAGGCGGTACGTGTGTTCTGCATAGACGAGTATACAGAAGATGACGGATAGTGCGACGGCTCGTTCGCTAGCAAGGGCGTTCTACCAACCAAAGTAGTCTTTACCTCCAAGTCGTCTTTCAAAGGCAAGTCGGCGTACGGCTTGTCACCAGAAAATTCTTGAAGGGGAAAGCTGATGGGGCTCGAGTGTTGACGGTTTGTTCCTTTCTCATCGCCAGCTTCGGTAGCAGAGCTGCGACTAGGCACTGTAGTTGCGAACTTCTTCTTTCCATCCAAATCCTGAGCTGTGACGAAATCCTCCTGAGACGAGAGCTTCTCGGCGAGCAGCCAGGTCTCCCAGCCACTGCCATCTTGGGACTGTGCAGATTCCGAAGTGCGGGGAGGCTGAGATATGCCCACGGGCTCGGTTGCGAGCTTGCCATCGGGCTTCTCCATATCGCATAGAGTTGCGCCGTTGCTGGAAGAACCATCTTGGAATCGGGCCACAGAAGCCTCCTTGTCGTCAAAGGCAGCTGTGCTCTCGTCGTCCAGTGGGAGGGGGATATTCTGAGGTTGAAGAGAGAGGGCCATCTGACTTTCGCATTGGGGGATACACTGGGAGAGTCTCCAAGTTCTGAAAGACTCGTCATCCTGATCGGCGCGACTCTGGCAAGCAGGGAGAATCGGGGCCGGGGGAGGCATATCAGGGAGTGACCCTCGCTCTCGAAGAACAAGATTTGTTGCCGTGACCTTCGTGGAGGTATCAGGCTTTGGACAGCTGCTACGCCGGCGGTCTCCAGTGGTGATATCGATAGGATGAACCTTAACACCTTCGTTCGAAAGCTTGGCAGCAGGCGGTGGCTGCGGCAGAGACGTAATATCAACCACAGAAACATCGGTGGGAATCTCCACCTCTATTCCGCTCCGCGGTCGTGGTCCGCTCTGACGCTCGCTTTGGTGATCACCAGGAACTTCCACTACTGTCTCCAACCCACGGAATCTCTTACTTCCAGGCGTGACAGATCGCGAACTGTGCTCGCTCTCGAGGTCGGCTTGAATGCGCCTCATGTTGTTCTGTCTCACAGAGTAAGTATAAGCAGCCTGGTCGTATTGCGGGGAGCCATCTATCTCCGTAGCAGCGGGATTGGAACAGGGCCTCTGAATGCTGATAATCGACACCCGCTTGTCACTGTCGGGACTGTCAGACCGCTTGTTGCTGTTGTTAGAGCAGCGTCGGCTGAGTCTGCTCCAGGGACCACTTCTTCTGGGTGCTTCGATTTGATCCTCGTGGTCCGACACATATTCGACCTCGGTGGGATCAGGAATGAAATCCTGTTCAGGAGAGCGCATGTATGAGCGCTGAGAGGACGTAATGGAGCCCCCTGTGTTGGTTCCACTGAGCATGAGTTCCATGTTGTAGTTGCTTCCAGGCAGCTTGGCCGGAGGAGGCAGCTTGATCAATTCGACAAGGGGCTGCTTCGGAACGTGGGCTGGAATTTTCTCCTTCGATTTCGCGTTCTTCGCCTTTCTGTCCTTCGACTGCGTGTCTTCGGGAGGATCCGCCTCCTTTGCCTTTGCGTCTTCATCCTGCCCCTTTTTCTTGGAGGAGATGCCGATGCAGCAGACGCGCACCATCTTGATGGATTTCCACTGTGGATGCTCGATTTTCTCTGTGTTTGCTTTGGTCTCCAAACGAGCGAAGAGGTGGTGATAGTCGGATGGCTGGCGAAAAATACTCGGTACCAATCCAAGAAACTGCTCGACCTGCCCAAGAGGAGAATGATGCAAATGAAAGTCTGATGAGCAAGGTTGTCTTGCAACAGGCCAAGGCCAAAAAGAGAGGTTGAAGGAGATGGGGGATTTGACAAGAAGCTTCTTCTGTGGAGGGTAGAGGGCAGAGAAGGAAAGCAGAAGGCCCAGTCAAGTTGTGGAATGTTGACCTGACGATGTCATCTTTCTGCTGAGTGAAAACAGCGGGTGCCCCTGAGGGTTCCTTCTCGAGGATCTGTTGCTTTCACTGGTGGCAGTCACCAGGGACGACATCATCAAGCAACACGGGCACCCAGGTCAAGCAGCGGTCATCAAAGACCAGCAGCCGCCTCCCTCAAAAATGCCATGCGGCTCGTGAGAGCATGTAACAAAGGCAACGCCGCATGTGTGAACTGCGTATACTCAGAACTGAGGGTGAGCGCTTGCTTCGATATCTGTATATACCCGCTACCCATCTTCAACCCATCTAACATAACTTTTGTCAGAGTAATCATCCATGTTGGAGTGGGTTTGAAGTGTTGGTTGTTAATACTGACAACTTGGCTTCGATTTGATCCTGTTCGAACAGACTCTACAACACCAGCCATGTGGGTTGTACATGTTGACTAGTGTTGGCCTTTCTGGGCCCCTATCTGAAGCCTTCAAGACTGTCTTTGAGCATCGTCCGAGGCACCAGTTGGGAGCACCATCTTGAAGCATGATCTTGGAGCACCGTTCTCGGGCGTCTTCATGGGCATCGTTTGTATCTGTATCTCACATCATCCGCTTGGACGTGCAGACGATCCAGATCTACAAGCATTCGTGTAGAAGAAATCAGAATAGGTCTTTTCAGTAGGACTCTGCATCAAAATAGGTCATTTCAGTAGGACTCTGCTTCGAATCTCTGACTGACTAGCTCTTGACGTAGCTATTGCTGTTGTTCCGGTCCTCCAAATGGCCTTTTGGCTATGGCTAATCAGACCCATTGAGAAGGTAGTATTAGCAGACCATAACCCTCAGGCTTACAATATCTTGTGCCACTTGGCATCGAAGAATTCGAGTTTCAACGTTCCCTCTCGATCCATGTAGCAAACGCCACATCCTAGTTCCCCAGAAGGTGTTTTACGGCTCATCGACACGTTCTGTTCTGTGATGATCTTCCCTAAGAAGCTTTGCTATGGCTAGATACGGGAAGGAAAGCTCGCGTTTTGGTACCGAACCATCGACACATCGATTTCAGACAGTTGAGACTGATCATGCCATGAGGTCGGGAATCGAGGCGTCGGACACGTGGATTAGTGGAGGGCGGTCGAAAGCGGCCCGTTCAATGAGAAATCTGATCCGACGTTGTGCCCTATGAGGCCGCAAGTACGAACGGGTGGCGCAGCAGGTTTTCTTGGCTTGTGGGAATTTTCCACACAAAACATGGAAGTGATGAAGCTGGTATCCGTTCAATATGCCGGTTTGAATGTTGCCCGGGTCTAGATTTGTCAAAATATGCAGACTCGAGAATGGCTTTCGCTGACTTCAGCGTGCAACAATCTAATGTGTAGTCGAAAGGATGACCCGACCCGGTTGATTATGGGGACGGAGCTGCCGCATGATACTTGGCGACAGGGTTGGGAATTCGGGTGAGCGACCGATGCTGTGCAAACAAATGCAAGCGACCAAACTCAAAACAAGGACGTGGGTGTCAGACAGGAAGAACCCCTCCTAGGTATCCCAACTCCCCAGGAGGCAGTGCCAGCCAGCCAGGGAGCTACCGTGTTTGATGTTTTCTGACGAGTGTTCCGACTTGGTTCGCCTGGTCGGTCCTTTTTGATTAGCAGGATTTGACAGAGCATCAAGCCTTCGTATCAGGGAATGGGAACGGCAATTACGGCGCGGTTGCGACCAATATGAGGCAAATCAAGGAAGGCGATGCGATGGTGTGAAGCAGGCGGAAGTTGAAAGAAGCAACGACGAGGCAAAGCGGGTTGGCGTTGATGTGTCTTGGTCCAAGATCAGTGATCGCCCAAGCGTTGAGAATGTGAGGTGAAGGGGAAGACGATCCCGTGTTGGTTTCCAGGATGGGTGTAAGACAAAATGGCGGGGCGGAATGCAATAGAATGGGCCGAAGCCGGTGTCTCTGAGTCTACAGGCCTCCGGATCTCTGAGTCTGTGAGAGACATGTGGTCGTGGGTAAGATATCGTGACATCTGAGGTACGACGAACATCTCAGTAAGGTAAGGTACCTTATTCTGAGTGTTGCCTGAGGTGATGCAGGTAACAAGTCCAGGCTCCGTCCCGGGCAGGAACGTAGTGGAGGAAAGGCGGAGGAAGGAGCAGAGGAGCTAAACCCAGGAGGAAGGCATCGAACGGCGAGGAGCAGGAACTTCCAGGAACCGAAGGAGCTGAAGTCACCGATTCGGGACCACCTTCCCGCCTTGCCCCAGGAGTAAGACCGGACGGGAGACGTGTTACCGTCATCAGCGGGTGGCCTTATGTCCAGTGTAGGCTGACGTTGACAACTTCCATTGACAAGCAATCTGAGAACCTGGAAGCTGAAGCATCCATCAATCAATCAATCGGCCAGTCACTTCTGACAATGGGTTCAGGCTCAAAACTCCAGAGTGCTCGAGTCCACCATTCGTGCCGAAACCACCGACAGGATGCACGCGGCAGCATACGAATGGCTCGAAGCCTCATCAGAAGTGATCAGATTCATCATCATTGTCCAGGGTCTTCAGGTGAAGATAATGTAAGCTCCAGGTGTGCAATTTCCAGCGCGAATTTTCTGCAAGATTAATCAAGTCAAAGGCCCAGCAGGATCGCTGCCATCGCAAAGCTGCGCAATAATATGCAGATTGCCGTTGGTCAAGGTCAGGCCAGACCCAGAACCCAGACCCGGCCAGTCCAGGCTCCCCGAAAAGTTGGGAACTGCCGGGTAACGACTCGCCGGCTCATCTGACGGTTATTATTACCGCAGAGCTGAAAGGAAGAGAAAAGAACACCACCACCTCGCTGCCTGCATAGCCGTCCATACAGAAGTGTCGGTTGTGCTGGAGACAGTACATTTCGACATAATCTCGACACAATCATTCTGTGACAGGGACTTCCGGGGCGAACCCTGAGGGGGAGATTTGGTTGTTTCCACCCCTGCCGAGGAGGGGGCGAGGAGCCATGGTCCGTGTCACCGTGGATTGACGACTTAGAGGCTGGACTTCTAGAGTCTTGGGTGCAACTTTACTCAGTTTTCCCGCAGGTTTTCCCAGATGAAGGTCTCCGCCGCCAATTCCGGGGGGAAGAGGATTGACGAGGATTGACAGACCAGCAGTGCGGTGCAAAATGCAACCGCGAGCGGCAACACTTGAGCGCCACTGCGCCAGTCTCCAGAGGGGGCCGAGGGGATCGCCTCGGGGGTCTGAAACCCTTCTCTTCGGGGGTTCATTGCTTGGCCAAGAGCCAAATGGTGAGGATTGTAACTGTACTCAAGCAGTGGACTGGGTTTCCAGTCACTGTGCCGGTTGCCCATGGGCAATAGTACGGAGTACCTGGATGATTCTGAACTTTGCTCCGTCTGATGATGCTCCTCATTTCCATCAGATCATCCCGTCGTTTCGATCTCATGTTTGCTGGCCGGGTTGGCTGCTCTCCTAGTTACAGCAGGGTCATCCACGCCTTCTCGTCGGTCACACGAAAGCACCAGAGACATTGAGCATTACGTTGCACCAGCTGAAGCCAGCTGCGGTCATGAGCTGAGCTTTGGAAATCCGAGTCTTTGTTCTACATTCCACCAAGCCCCCGGAAGATGCAGAACGACTCGATCCTCGTGGCATCTGAGACGAAAACATTCCGCAGCAGTGAAGAACAAACCACGGGCCACGAACCAGGACGACAACTCACAAAGCTTGGACCCGGCGTTGCCAACTCCATCTTCGATTCTGATGGACGATCATGGAGAAGGCGGAAATTTTCTCTGCTCCACGTCGGCGCACACGTACCGCATGTCTTGGCACAGCTGGCCACAGCGGCAGATGGGAGATGGTTGATGGATCGTGGCCCTCTGTCTCCCGTCTAGAGTTGCATCGAGACAACGTGACGATGTGGACTGGGAAATAGCATGGCGGCAGAGGCAGAGGCAGTCAGTCGGTCAGCGACAGTTTGGGGGCCAGAGTGCCAGACTACCAAGTACCAACTTCCAAAACTTCCAACAACTCTGGAACTGCATGGCGCGACAACGTCGCACACAATGGACCATTTCAGGGCTACCGCGTCGATCCCATTCTCCCCCCGAAGAGACGCCACATTGATCCGACCCCCCTGATATTTGGCTCTCCGGAGTACAGATTACCGCAGTCGGGTGCACAACAGAGATCAGTGACTGGAGAGGTTGTCAGCAAATCTAGGTCATCCGCTAAAGGGGGGACCGAGGGGCTGAGCGCAGACTCCCTGTTGGTCGGTGCCTCGATATGTTCCTGGCTAGAATCTGGTCTAAGGCAAGGTACCCGAGTCGACCAAGCGATTAAAAGCGCCTAGTAATGAGAGGGAAAGAATTGAGGGGGATGAGGCCACTGAGCCAACCGACATACTGCCGCTCCGACTCATTACCTTCTCCTCCGCTTCCAAGTTTCCGTCCCGATTCCCTAGCCACGGAGCCTGACACAATCCTGAGCACGACTGAAAGATGTCACTATTAACAGGCTTTATCGGACTATTCCCGACACATCTATGGCCACCATAGCCCGTACACAGTATGATATATCCCGCAGAGAAAAGGGGTCAGGTTGCACGAGGGTCGGTTAATACTCGTGCACTGTAACGGAAGCGGTGCATATCGAGATGTGCAGTCTTCTGTTACGTCACTCACTGCAAACAAACAACACCCATGGCTTTTTCGTAGGGCAGGGCTCCCGATGAGAATTTGCGGTGAGAGGCGGGCCGGCGCCAAGTTGCAACTGTGCCGGAGTGTAGGGCACATGCGAATAGGGGCGCAAAAGGGATCGACTGGCTACCGCTTCGTCGCAGATATTTCCAGTCGGCGGCAGTGTAAAGTCAGCTACAGCACGCGCGCGTGCGGCGCGCTCGCCATTCATCACGTATTTAGCACCGCATTACACGAGTATCTCTCTCTCTCTCTCTCTCTTTTAGCGCGTCTATGGATAGTTCGTCTCACGTCTCTTCACGTCACATCAAGATGGGCACGGTCAAAACGGTCACCCTAAGGTTAAGTGAGTTTAAGGTCGGTCGCTAAAACGCCTCCATCGAGGTAGGTTGGTTGGTTTCGCAGCGGATCAGGACGCTACGGGCCTACGGGGAGACTCTCTCGAGAGGAAACCGCACGTCAAGCAGACGGACCCCCCGGCTAAGCGGCAGTCTCTCATGGCGTTTTCATTTTTAGCCCTTTTGTGGCTCACTCTGGTTTGGCGCCGCCGGGCAAGACTACACCGCTGCATCTAGCAATGTGCCGTTGGCTGACTGTTGGCGCTAGACTAGATCACAATGAAAGTTGAACGGTGAGTGGACAGAGCGTGAGAAATGGCTGGGGTTTCATGTGAGGGGAAAGAACGGTAAGCTACGAATATTTGGAAACAGAATCTGGCAGATTGATGCAACGGTCGGCTGGCTGAGCCTCTGAGGGAGGTAAAAAAAAAAACTTTTGAGACTTGCATCGCCGTGTCTGCAAGGCCGAAAATACGATACATGCCTTATGATGGTGTTATTGACCACACACGTACTCCGTAGTAGTAGGTACGCCGTACAGATACGGGCCTGAGCCAACTGTCGGTCAGTCTGCTAGCGGTCTGTTGCACCTGTCACCGTCGACCGAAGCTTTGCATATGCGCACAGATTGGGTTGGGCGCATACGAGGGACGACTCGGCCGTGCATACGGACGGATGCTCGTACGTCTGAATGTCGTAAAGCATACGATGGCCCATGGCCTTATTGCCAATTGGCGTACATAAAAAAAGGCATGAAGAGTCGTTCTTGTGTAGCGCAGGGCACAATGCCTGTGGTTCGGCACCGCGGACGGGACAGCGGCAACAGACAACAGGCCATCTCCACCGTTTTATGGTCTCTCAATGAAAAGCAAATTGAGCATCCCGGGATACTGCGTACGGATGGACGTTGAGGTCTAAGTATGGGGGGCTGTCGGCTACCGACGTGTACGAATAGGCTGCGAAGCCGGCATGATGCAAGAAGTTAAGAACAAGCTCAACAACGAGGGAGAAAGAGCAGCCCGCGCGGGATCGATGATCAAGAAGCAATCAATCTCTCTACTTGTACGGGTACGCTCTCCACCGACTGGATCCGCACGAGATCTAGAAGTTGGTCACTGATTAGAGGGCTGAGCCACGTTTGCACGGAACACTGCCGTAGTCTGTTGGCATCTGCAGAGAAACTGTACAGATGGTCATGGAAGAAGCTTCCGTGCGGCTCCGGGTAGCAAGCAAGAGTCAGTAAATGCACGCTCTCTGATGCTTCTTCTTCTTCTCCTTCTCAGCTAATACGTAGGAATGTACGGATACTGCGTACGAATAGTGTGCAATGACAGCGTATCCAGCTCCGTAGGTATGGGACCATAGAGTCCACAATCACATCTTTCATTAATTTGATCAGCAAGGTAAGGTACCTTATCGCAGGGACCCTCGCATCCTGGACAGTGACTCTAGGAGTCAGGGATGACGGGGCGCCTGTGGCCACGATCTTGACTGGGATTCGGGCTGATGTGGATGGTGTGGATCCGGACGATTGGCCACGCTTGTGTCTCATGTTTGGCGGTACCTGCATATGAGGAGCGGGATGGCAGGGGTTGGGCCGACAGGGGTAAGCTGACCAAAAAGTGCGCTGACAACTGGCAAATCCAGGACGACAGGCAGGCGCGCACGGCGAGGCAATAGCAACGGCACGGGCTGACAGGTGGTAAGGTAGGAGGCGCCTCCGAAGGCTTTCCCTGCTTGGGCAAAGGGGAAACACAACGTCGAGCGGTACGTATCGCTCAAGCCTCTTTGAAAAAACAAGGTCGGAAAAGGAGTCAACATCAACGGTCTCTCTTCTCTACCTTACGCAGTACCTACCTTGTCTAGGTACCTCACTCTTACACTTTCTCACTTACACCACTTCAGTCGAGCATCACAGTTGTCACCATCATGACTGCTCAGCACTGACTTCCACGACTACAACTCAATACCCAGGTCCATCCATCACGACTACCGCTCATATTCCCTCACATATTGCCGTCGTCGTTGTCGAATACTACCCGGGCTGCCGTCATCACCGGCGTAGGTGGGGTCATCTCACTCCTGTCTTTTAATGAAGAGGACTCCGTCTGTGGGTTTGACGCTTGACTCCTTGAGATGGAAGACGAAAAATAAAGGCGGCTTCATCTCTTGCCCCCATGCAAGAGTCGAGGGCTGTGCGGCGAGCGGTGCGGTGGCCGCTGGTTCGCCTCTGCCTTAGCCCAGCTTCCTAAGGTGGGAAGCGGTTCTTCGTACCCCCTGGATCATCGAGCAAGGGTCCTTGAGAACCCCCCGGCGCCGTCATCCTTTTTTCTTTCCCACCACATCCGTGGTTCTCCACTCCACTCCGTGCCTCCTCCCAACGACACACACTCACACACTCACACACCACACCCTCACTCACTCACTCTTACCCTCACCTCTGCTCGCCCACTCACTCACTCTGCGCTTCCTTGCTCACTCACTCACTCACAACTCTACAGAGTATCCTTCTCTTGCTTGGTGCCGGACTAGTCTCGCGCGTCCTGCCATCTCCTTCTCACCCTCACAGATGGTTCACCATGTCAGGTACACTTCCTTGGCATCCATGTCATCCCATGCGGGCCAAGCAAGCGTTT